CAGGCGCCCCCGCCCGCCCAGCAGGTCCCCCCGCGCTGTGGACGCGCCCGGGGCGGGGTCTGCGAGGCGCCCACGCCGGCCTGCAAGCCCGCGGGACCGGCCCGACCGAGCCGCCGCCATGATCATCCCCGTGCGCTGCTTCACCTGCGGCAAGATCGTCGGCAACAAGTGGGAGGCCTACCTGGGGCTGCTGCAGGCCGAGTACACCGAGGGGTGAGGCTCCGCGGCGGGCGGGCTGCGTCCCCTCCGGCCCGGCTCTCGGAACCGCTCTCAGGCGGTCGCTGTCCCCCTGCTCCCCAGCCTCCTGTCTGCTGTGAGGCCACCCTCTGTCCTGCGAGCCTCGCTGTCTTTTAAAATGCGGGACAAACTTCCCGACCACCTCGGCCTCATCTCCAGGCTTTCAGGGCTGTGGGGATGGGACCCTTTTCCTGTGTTTGTCCCTTCCCGACGCAGCTGCCACCACGCCTGTCCAAGTCCCTGACCCCCGCTGGGGTCTGACCGTGGACAGCTGTGTGCCTTTCGTTTATTGTGGGGTTTTGGCGGCTGGCATTGGGAACTGAGCCCTTGATCTTGGCGTTACAAGGCTGCGCTCTAGCCGTTGAGCTAATCGGCCAGCCTCGGTCACATTCAAAGCCCTACGGCTGTCGTGGGCCAGTCTACCGTGGACCGCCAGTGTACGTGTGTTGGGTGGACCGGGAAAGTGAACGGACGGACCGAGCAGGCCGCTAGAATGACCGGCATGGGAGTGAGTGGCTGGCACCCAGCGCAGGGATACAGTGGGTAGAAGCCTCCCCCTCTGTCCTCTGCCACAGGAGCCAACGGTGTGGAGCTTTCCTGGAGGCCTTGCGGTGACTGGGGCTAGGCTCCAGGGTAATTGAGGTTTCCGGTTGGCTTGGGAAATGGGAGAGGTGGCTCACTGGAGACGGTCTCTCTCCCTGATTTGGGTGAGCAGAGCTGAGGAAAGATCCACAGCAGCCGAGGGGGGCTTGCTTTGGCCAGGGCAAGGCACCTGTCTCTGCTGGGGACACCAGGATGGAGGGAGGTCTGCAGGCCCCACTGATGCACTTTCTCACCTGGGGGAGGGAAACCAGCTAAGGGGTGGGGCCCATCCCAGAGAGCCCCAGCCGTGGGAGGTCTGTGCTAGGTGAGGGGGTCCAGTAATCAGCACCTAGATCATGGTGGTTGGCAGGGGGCTCAGTCTTATCTCACCCAAATAACGCCACAAGAAGCTGCCCCAGCCCTGGATACAAGAGCCTGAAACACGGGCAGAAGACAGGCTGGAGGCTGGAGCAGCTGGAATGTGGGCACGCACGTGGTGTGGGGGTGTGAGCCCAGGCCTCAGGATGCTGGCTAGAGCAGGTCAGAGAGGAGGTGCCCCAGGCTGTACCCCAGGTGGGCGTGTCCAGGTTACTCCAGCCAGGTCAGTGCTGGGCCTCAGCCCCTGATGCAGGTGGATCTCCACCTTGCCTGTACCTGGGGTGGGTGGAGGAAGGTAAGCAGGCCCAATGCCCAGAGCGGGTTGGATGTGGACTCCAGGCCTGTAAAGACCAGAAAACACAGCAGCCTCACTGCTCCTCCCCTTGATACAGGGACGCCCTGGATGCGCTGGGCCTGAAGCGCTACTGCTGCCGCCGCATGCTGCTCGCCCACGTGGACCTGATCGAGAAGCTGCTCAATTATGCACCCCTGGAGAAATAGCTGTGCTGACTACGGGCAGGGGTTGTCTTGCCCAGAACTCACGAAACAGGGGTGTCGGGGAGCTGGGAGCAGTGCCTGAGCACAGCCATGTGGGCTTGTGTCTCCACTCTGGAAGGCATCAGCCAGTAAAGGTCTTTGCAGAACACCTAGAGATCCTGCCTGGCTTTGTGAGGCTCCCTGTGTGTTCCTGCGCCGGGCTCATGCCTGAGGCTGCCTGGCGCAGCTCCTCCCCTTCCTTGGAGCTGTTCTCGCCTGGTCTGTCTTAGGGGCTCTTGCTTCCACTTCTCCAGTCCCAGTACCCCACTACGATGTCAGTGTCAAGGACTAGGCCCAATCCCTCACACTGTGCCAGAGCCCACAGCAGGAGGCAGAACCCCTGCTGGCTGGACCCTAGCCCCCAGTCCTAGGGCTACTCTGTTTCACGTGGTGCCCCTTTATTATTTTTTTTTTAAAGATGACTGGTAAGGGGATCTTAACCCTTGACTTGGTGTTGTCAGCACCACGCTCTCCCAGGTGAGCTAACCGGCCATCCCTATATGGGATCCAAACCCGTGGCCTTGGTGTTATCAGCACCACACTCTCCCAAGTGAGCCACGGGCCGGCCCCACATGGTTCCCCTTTAAATGGCACGGTCAGTAGCCTTCCACCCCTGCTTCTCGTGCCCTCCATCAGGTGGGCATCCTAGAGTGGTTGCCGTCCTTGCAGTCTGAGAGGGAGTGCCATCCTCAAGGCAGTTGCCTCAATCTTGGGGGGTGGCGGGGGAGGGCGCTCTCCCTTTGGAGTGTGTCTGCCCATGGTCTGACAGGCACAGACAACCAACCATGCTTGGGGGAGATCCTGGCATTCCCACCCCCTTGTTTTAGGTGCATCTCAGGCTGAGCACAGAAACCCCCATATCCTCTCTCCCAGAATCTAAAGAACCAGATTGTCTGGGGCCTGAACAGTGTCTGCTGGGGTCACAGCTGGCTCCCTGCCCACCTGGTGCCCATTCCAGACGGTCCTGCTCCCAGAACCCTTCCAGCTCCACCCAAGCCCAGCAGGCAGGGCAGACCCTGCCCCTTGGCCAGGTCCCTGCAGAGGAAGAGGGGCAGCGCTCAGCCTCCACAACCAGCCCTGAGACCCCCCACTGCTGGGACAGGGGGTGGCCCTGAGGAGGCTCTTCTGACTGGCACTCAAGGCTGTGTGCAGGCTGGAAGAGCTGGCTCCAGAGGGCTCTGCTCTAACTCAGGCTGAGGCTTAGGAAGCTGGAGGCTGTCGCCCTGGGCTTTGGTGGATCCTGGTGCCCTCCAGCTGGCAGGAGGCAAGAGTGTGCTGACTGCAGGGGGAGTGGGAAGCAGCTCTTCTGGGCACCTTCAGGGCTGGCCTTGGCTGCCTAGATGGGGAAGATGGGGTCTGCCAGGAGTGTACATTCTGAGCTTAGGTAGAGGGTACAATGGCTGGGGCCTGGCTGCCCCTTCAGGCCCAGCACTCACCCCACCCTGGCTCCATCCCGGGTGCACTTGCACCATGCATCGTGCCCTCTGACCCCCAGCACAGTCTGTAGGCTCCTCCATAAACACCCTACTCAGCCTTCGGGCTTCCTCAAACCCCCCACCATCTGACCCCACCCCCTCACCGCCTGCCACAGCTCTTGCCTGGGTGTGGCCTCGTCGCACCCATACCAGGGACCGGCAACAGGATCGCAACCCTCGGTGTCGCGCCCGTACCGGGGACCGGTGACAGGATCGCAACCCTTGGTGTTGCACCCGCTCTGCGCTCAGCCAGTGAGCGGGAACCGGTCTCCACATGGGATCCGAACCCTCGGCGGGAGCGCCGCCACGCTCTCAAGCAGCGCACTCTCCAGTGCGCCACCGGGCCAGCCCCAGAGGGATCTTTGTAACCACAAGTGGGTCCAAGGCTACAGTTCTTGTGAGGCCCCACAGACCTCTAAGGTCTCCTTTGGTTTCCTCCACACAAGGGGCTCCGATCTTCAGGAATGTGCTGGGTTCTTCCTGCCTGGAGGCCTGTGCTCAGCTGTCCCTGCCACTGGCCTACCCACCCCCCCCAGCCCTGGGAGCTATCTGCTCATGCCTGCCCACCCTGGACCCTGGGAACTGCCCACCTGGCTCCTGCTTTGAGTGGGTGCGTCTGTCCACCTGCTGGACGCAAGGGCCCTGAAGACAGAACCATCTGTTGCTTTTGTAAGTTCACTAGTCCACAACACGCGTTTATTGAGCACCTATTAGGTGGCAGGAGCAGCTCTAGGCATTTGGGGTACAGCAATGAATAAAACCAATAAGTCTCCTGCCCCTGCACAGGGACGTTCTAACAGGAAAGGTGATGCATAGTGATTATGTGGCATTTCAGGTGCTGGTGACAGCAGTGGGAAAACAGCCAGGGCTCTGGCTGGGAGGAGTGGGCAGGGATGTATGCCAGGGGGACCAGGGCACATTTGGCTTCCCCTGAATGGGACAAGACCACACGTCTCGAGGAGAGGCACCAGGTACCTGAAGCGCCTGGCCTGTGTACGGGCCCAGTGCCCTGCACCCCCTGCCCCTACTCCACCCACCAAGGACCCTTCCAGAGGCAGTCTGCCTCTGACCTCCTTGCAGGGGGTGTCCAGGCGGCTGGGCCAGGCCAGCCCAGTTCTGCCTAAACCCAATCCCAAACTGAACACAGGCATTGAGAAGCACCCCCACAACCCCACCACCCCACTTCCAGGCCTAGGCCCCAAACAGTCCCTGACTGCTGAGGAGAGGCCTAGGACTTTGGCGTGCAGCAAAAGGCACTTGACACTACCTCTGGGGGTGGGGTCGGCAGAGGTCCTGGTGGTGCACAGGGGGCCGCAGGCATGATAGCACAACCACCTCCCTGGCAGGGAAGGGGGGCGGAGAGGAGGGAATGGAGTCCTGGGACCCCAGCCCCCCGGGTGATCAGTAGTGTCAGCTCAGTAGTCAGGTGGGAAGCTGCAGCAGAACACAGGCGGGCCTCGGGCCAAGCCCAGGGCAGGTTCAGTAGTGCTCCAGCTTTAGGCTCCTGTACAGGCAGCATGTAAAGATCATGCCGAAGACCTGTGTGCAGAGCCGGGTGGGCATAAGCGGGTGCCATGGGCCACCAGCCAACCATGTCCCCCACCAAGTCACCCCCAAGTCACCTGTACACAAGCAATGCCAATGCCCACAGCCCCGATGACCCTCAGGTGCTCCTGGATGAAGGTCTCCAACTTGGTGATGCAGCCGCCCTGGTGGGGTGGGGGTGGGTTGCAGAGGGTGGGCCCAGCTGGCTCCCACCCCACCACAGGACCTGGTCAGCCAGGCCCTAGCCAGCTCAGCCATTCACTGGGACGCCTACCTACCTCCACCTTGTAGATGTTGGAGGCGTGGTCCCGCTGCCCACAGCCGGCCACCACTGTCTTGCAGCAGCTGTCGGGTACCACACGGCCACCTGCCTCATCCGAGCGGATCCACTCACTATCTCTCCAGTCCTGGGAGTTGTTGCTGCCACAGCAGTGGAACTGCAGTGGGAACACGGCATAGGCTGAGCCCTAGGGCCAGAGGCCCCTGCAGACCCAATGTGCACAGCCCCTGCTCCCACAGAGGCCCAGGGAGGCCCTGGGTGCATGTGGCCCTCCCAGCACCCACCTCTTGCTGCAGCTTGTCCACAGCACTGGTCACACCCTCGTGGCCCGGCTGGTGGTACTGCTTGGTCATGGTGTCCTTCAGGTTCTCCTTGAGCTCTGTGTTCAGCTGGGGGTGGGGTGGTGGGAACTTCAGCCTCAAAGCCCCAGATGTCCAAGGTGGGGCTGAGAGAGCCCAGGATGGCGGGAAAGAGGCCCGTGGAGGGCTCAGAGCAGAATGGAAGGACTGGGGTCTGATGGTGGCTCTAGGGGGTATTGGGTGGGACTGGGGGAGTAACCAGAGTCACCGTGGGGAGGGGCAGGGAAAGTCTCCAGATCCCCTGGACACCTGCCTCTCCATGAACCCTAAGGTGGGCAGCTTGGGTGCTGCGGGCAGGTGGTCTACCCCTGCAGTCCACCCTCTCCTGTGAGACCTGGACCCCACCTCCAAGGCTAGATGACACAATGACCAGTGCTGGAGTGGCAGGGGGTGTCATGTGTGCATGTCTGTGTCTGTGTGTGTGTGCACACCTCACCTGCTGGTAATAGACGTAGGCCAGGACACCAGCAATGATCTCCAACAGGAAGATGATGAGCAGAAGGATGAAGTACTGGGGGGCAGGAACCTGGTGAGGTGGGCGGGGCAGAGACTCCCCATCCCGGGAGGACCCCACAGAGCAGAGCCTGTGCCCCCAGCTCCCTATGGCTGCAGCGTGAAGGTTGCAGGCAGTGGCTGGGAGCTGGGGCTGGGGGCGGCCCCGCTCCTGGATGCTTTCTCATGGGGCTGCTGTCTTCCCTCAGCTAGAGCAGCCAGGATGTGGGGCCCATGGGACTGGGCAGGCGGAGAGGGGCCAGGCCCTCAGGTGAGCACCACAAGGCCAGCATGCAAGGCCAACATGCATGTCACACTTGACCCCCGCCAGTCCGGGCCCTAGTGCCAGCGCCAGCCCCAGGCAGCTAGGGAAGGAGCCCCTGCCCAGGCCCCCATCCCCACCACGCCCTGCTGACCAGGCGCAAAAGGTTCCGCCGCTCCTTGAAAGTGGCACAGCAGCCCAGGACACCAGTCACCATGACAACAATGCCAGCTACCACCAGGATGTAGGCTGTGGCCAGGTAGGTGCCTGAGGCCAGCAGGCTGATGTAGTCACTCTTGAGGGCCAGCGTCCAGACGCCCACTGCCATGACAGCCAGGCCAGCCAGCTGCAGGCAATGCACACTGGTCACCATATCTGGCCCAGGGCTGAGATACAGGCCCAAGGAGGGAAGGGGAGGTGAGGGTGGGCAGGCAGGCCGCTCCTCACCCAGAAGCAGCAGTTGTAGGTGAAGAGCAGGTACTTGAGGCAGACGGTGCCGCACGTCGCCTTCTTCTCGCTGAACTCACCCATCCTGGGGCTGTGAGGTGGGGCAGGGGGTCAGGTGGCCCACAGCACCCGCCCCTGACTGGGAGGACACGAGGGGGACAGAAGCAGGGAACACGGGGTCTGAGCCAACCAGCTGCCATGGGAGAAGACCTGGGAGAGAGCTTCCCTGGGAACCAGAACACTTGCCAGCTCAGCCCTGACCCCCATGCCACCAGGGCGGGCCCCTGGTGCCCACAGACCTGGGGTCATGAAGGACCCCCAACCATCACCAGCTGACTCATCCCTGCTGGCAGCTGGGGGCGGAAGCCCCAGCAGGCACCTAGGAGTGAGCTCATGCAGGCCCCTCCCGCCTCCCCATGGCATTCCCTGGGCGCCACGTCACAGGCTGGCAGGAACCTACTACCGCCGGCAGAGGGGTGGGGAGAGCAGGGGAAAGAGGCAGCAGAGGGACGGGGCTTGCCCACCACAGCTTGGCCCCTTGCTAAGGCTCTCTGGGCACCTTCCTTCTCTGTCAAAGGCAGCCCTTCCTTTCCCTCCTGCCAGGTAGGGTGGAGCCCACCAGTCCGGTAGACCCACACTCTCCTCAACACCTGAGGGTGGAGGGCACTGTTCTTCCTGGAAAGGCAGGAGCCACACCAACCCCAGCAACCCCCAGGGTCACCCTGCCCCCTGGGCTGTTCTGTGATGGGGAGGGCAGGGAGGGTGTGGGGCGCAGACAGCAGCTGAGTGCCCCGGGCCATGTTTCCAGACAGGCTGCTGCCAGGGCTGGACTTTCACCGCCTGCCAACTCTGCCCCGCCCAGCACTCACCTGGCTGGCTGGGGACGGCTCCTCTGTAGGACAGGTGGACAGAAGTTCCCCAAGACGCTCTGCTAGAGAGACAGGGACAATTCACAGGTCTGGCCTGTGCTGGGCAGGCAGGATCCTGCCACCCCTCCTTGTGGCCACCCAAGGCAGTGGGCCAGTGCTGCTGCCAGAGCAGGCAGCACTCTACAGGCAGAGAGAGGAGCAGCCAGGCCCGGTATTTTGGTCCTAGCTAGGGTGGGGCAGAGCAGAGGACATTTTTGGACAGTCTGATCCTGGGAGGGACCTCACGCCTTCTCCAGTAGCCCCACCCTGGCCTTTAGCTTCAGAACTGCTACTACCCCTTCCCCCACCAAACAGCAGCAGCTGCACCCTGGGGAAAAAAGAAGGTGCTGAGCTGGGTGGGAAAGGTATGGACCCTGACCAGTGAGCTCTGGGCACAAAGACTTCCACCACTGAGCTGGGGCAAGGACAGAACGGAACTCCTGAGCTGAGGAAGTGAGGACAGACCTCTCTACCACTGGGAAGGCATGGAACTGTACCTCTGAGCCAGGGTGGGGAAAAAGACCTCCACTACTCAGCTGGGGGTGGGGAGGGGCATGGAACTGCACCTCGGAGCTGTGGAGAGAGGGAACAGACCTCCACCATTGAGTTTGGGGTGGGGGGCATGGAACTGCGCTTCTGAGCTGGGATGCGGGGACAGACCTCCATCACTGAGCTGGGGGTGCACATACACCCTCCGTGGCTGAGCTGGGGCCCAAATACATGTCCCATTCCTGAAGGGTAACACAAACCGACCCCACCCACTCAAGGATGTGCATCTGGGCCTGGCTCTGGGGTCCCAGGCCCTCTGGGGAGGCTGGTTTCAGACACGGACCCAGCCCCCACTGCCAGCACAAGGGCGACGGGCTGAGGAGTGGCCCCTCTTCCCGGGAATGCCTGGTGGAATCTAACCTTCCTGGGAAAGGGCCGGCACGGGACCCTGGACTGGCCAGAAATAGCTCCTGCGGCCTGGGACGGAGCTGCCCCACCCCCAGTCCCCTGGACCTGACCGGGCCAGTCAGGGGGATCCGGGACTCCGCTCCAGCCAGGCTCGGTGAGGAATCCCCGCGTCACCGCTATGAGGTCACCGCCGCCACTGCCCCCCGGGCAGTGGGCGGGCCAGCGGGGGAGGGAAGGGGACCGGCGTCCGGAGACAATGAGCGGGGCGTTCGGGCGGCGAATTCCGGGACACCTCGTGCTTAGGGGGCCGCCAGGCCTGTCCCAGGACCCGGAAGTCTCTTCTCCCTTCCCCTGCGCCCCAGTGTCCGCCTGGCTGCCCGGCGTCCGG